TGATGAATGTAAGACTTCTGAAATTAAAACTTGATTGCCTTCGTAGTTGACAGCTCATTCTAAAATGGGTATCCCATTAGGGATCAAGGTCAGGCTAAGCTACGGTTGACGGTCAATATTTTCATTTTGGGATTCTAGTTCTAATTCTTTATTGAAATCATTTATTCAAGAGACCAAATTCGTGATATTGTCGGACTCATTAATGTGTAGTTTACGTTCGTGTTGAGTTTGCCTTTTTTGTAAATGATATTATAATCAAATTCCTCTAATTTTATGCGCCATCTGACAAATTTGGAACTTGGGTCTTTTTGATGAAGCATCCACTGGACCTAGGTATGCAACTTCTCTTCTCAGACATTCACTCTTGACTACAGTGGCGTATTTACGGGGGGGCTCAGGGGGCCCGGCCCCCCCCAAAAATGTATTTTTAATTTTTAGTTACGGAATAAGCACATTAACAAACCATAAACGACTTGGTTACCGTTTGAAAACCGAGAGGATTTACACAGCAAAGTGTGTCGGACCTTCACTCATTGAAATAATATTCACATCAATAACCACGTTCTCGAACGCAACCCTGGTGTGCCAGGGTGATTTTGAATGCATTCCAGGATAAAACAGAGACAGAAATGTCTGATGAAAGAAAGGGAATAGGAGTGAGAGAGAGACACAGGGGGATCAATACCAGCATTTAATACATTCGATCCGTCACATTGATGTCGTCACTTTCGTCGGAATTTTCGTTTCGATTTTTCATTTCACTACCCCTGCTCAAGGTTATTTGAGAGAGGTAGGTTGCCTGCAAGGATGATACACACCTACAGATTGTTTATTGTCCTCGTTTTTGGTAATCGCCGCCATATTGGTGTGTCACCATTTCCGACGTCATAACTAAGTCGTCAGCTGTTTAAACAGGCTACGCTAAGGCGAGAAATAACATGCTGCCTACGTTACAAATGATGATTTGGTGAGGGGGGGATTTGTTCCACAGAGGCTTTATGAGGATAGGCTATCCTGTAGTAGTCATGTGTATCATCCTTGGGTTGCCTGGATAACTCGATGACGTCATCTGGGGTGCCTCAACATAATGCAAATCTCCATAAGATACCCCAGATGCGTCATCAAGTTACCCATTACCAGACAACCTATTAACTTTAGGAACCTTGACCCTCGCTAAAGAAAGTTAATTAATTTTATTTGTTGTTATTGTTACGTTGGGCCCCCCCCAGATGAAAATCGTAAATACGCCACTGCTTGACTCACAAGATTTTAAAACTCGAATTACGTAGTTTTTCAAAAACTGCCCTTAGTCGATCTGAGAGTTCTTGTAATGATGTATAGAACACTATTATATCGTCTAGAAATACCAGGCATTGTTCGTTTTGGAGTCTGTGAAGAATGTTGTCCATCACCCTTTGAAAGGTCGCGGGTGCATTCTTCAATACGAATGGCATGCGAGTGAATTCATAGTGGCCATTCTCTCTATTGAAAGCAGTCTTGGGTATATCGGCTTCTCTCATTTCAATTTGGTGGAAACCGCTAGCTAGCTCCAGTGTGCTAAAATAATGGCATTTCCCAAGTTTGTCGAGAAGATCAGTGATGTTAGGAAGGAGTTATTTGTCGTCTACAGTTTTCTCGTTAAGTGCGTGATAGTCGATCACTACTCTACATTTTTGTACCCCCGAAGCATCCATTTTCTTTGGCACTACCCAAATGGGCGAGGACCATGGTGAAGTATTTGGTCTTATAATTTTCTGCTTTAGCATTTTATTAATTTGTGTTTCTACTTCTTTTTTATGTATGAACGGGTACCTATAAGACTTCGTATATACTGGGCGTTCATCAAAGGTTCTAATTGAATGTTTAATGTTGCTAGTGAATGTTAGAGTCGTGTTTTTACGATGGAAAATATCTGCAAATATTGCACTTTTTTCTTTATAGTTTAGGTGGTCAGTACGAATTTGAGAAGGGTCGAATTTGGGTTGTGGACAATTATTGTCGAAATTATTGAGTTGGATGTTTTCGAAATTTTTGTTATCACAAATTTCTACAGGTTCTGATATATCCAGTATTATTGGTTGGCATGTATTATCTAAAACAGTTGTTAACGCATAACCGTTCTTTTTACAATCGTCAGTCAACTAGGAATTTCACAGTTATGAATTTTCTGGTAAGGTATTATTACTTCGCCGTTTTACATGTCGGTTTTGGATTTCGCTACTTGGGAACAGCGAGGTGATATTATAATATTAAGTATCTCCGGTCGTGATTTATGGAAAAGTAACATGATTCGTATATGAAGCGTTTCAAGGAAACCGTTATTGTAGTCGATTCTAGCTTGCAACAATTTGAGAGTATCAAGTCCTATTAAGCCATCAAATACATTATGAAATTTGAATAAATGAAATTTTAATTTTTTGAATCCTTGTAAGTTGAAAATTCGCGATGCTGGTATCGTCGCACTAAACTGATGAGATGATTGTTGAAATACCATTGATACTATGATCGTATGATATATGATTTGGAAAATATTTTTGGGCCAGGTCGGGGTCAATGAATAATTTCGTAGAGCCACTATCGATTAAAAATTTTAAGTTATTTTCGGGGAATGTTACGATAACTCGCTGGTGTTTGTATTATTATAGGATATTAATTGTGGCTTTAGGTTCTTTGGTTCTGTTGATTCTGATCATTTTGAGGTGATTGGATCTCGTCATTTTGATCTATAAAATTTTCTGATTCTTGGTTTGACGACTGAGTGTCATCAGTCTGTAGGTAATAGTTATTATATTGAGGTAGGTTATAATTTTCAGTGTATGTTTCATCATTATATATTTGGTAAACAAAGTACGAATTTGGCTCATCCACAGTGTCTGTGTTATGGAATTCCTCGAATGTGAAATTTGATGATTGATTAAATTGCGATAGAAAATAATTATAGGCATTTACTTGGGGCCTTTTCCCAAAAACCTGCGAATTCGTTGGAAGTTTTTGCTGAGTTTTGTTATAGTTCGATCTCACGAAGATTGGTTACGACGGAAATGCGTTTTTACTCTGAAAGTGCGTGTATTGAGCAGGTGTATTGAAATTTTGTGCTTTGGATTGATGTGCGTATTGAGCACGTGTATCGAAATTCTGCGTTTTTGGTTTATTTTAGAAAATATCGAGTGTTCCTTTCTCGCGTAACAAACTGTGAGGCTTCAGGCAAATCTTTCATTCGTGTGCAACGAATCGTTATGCCAAATGGCTATTTGAGTCCGGATAAAAATGTTTTCAGGGCGAGATTATTTATTATATATTATATATATTTATTATCCTCTACTTCGTGTAAATCTACGTAAGAACATAACAGATTCAAAATGTGTAAAATTCGGTCGTAGTACTGATCAGGGTTTCCGTTATTATTTTGCCTAAGCATAACGAGTTCTCTGTTAAGACAAGCCTCATCTCTTTGGTCAGCAAAATGTCTACCACAGATGAGTTTTATCAGTTATTCATTCCAACTATTAACATTTTGGGTACCAAGAACAAGTTTAGCGTTACCCGTCAATTTTCGTATAATACAATTCAACAAATTAATATTTTGAAAGTGGTTTGGCTCATTGGCATTGTAAAATGTGTCAATAAGACTATGACAAACTGCCAAATATCTGTTTAGGTCATTTGGATTGTCGTCAAAGGTCGGCACACAATTTAAATATTCGAGTTTAAATGAAGTAGCCCTTATTGATACATTCCTGTTTACAGAGTTTTGTTGATTATTGTCAACTATCGATTCTACTCTGCCTTCAGCACTATTTTCTGTATTATTTAAGGCTTGATTGATTATTCTAATTACTTTTTCAGATTGAGAAGCAGAGTCAGTTGAAGGTGATAAAATATCTGTTCGCAAATTTAAGTCATTCAATTGATCAATAGTATCATCAATATTTGGACATGAATACAATCAATTGCACTACTTACGCGCTCAGTATGAAGAATATCTTCATTATAAGCCAAGAGTCTTGGTTAGCGATGCAAGTTCTTCCCAAGACTGCTTGATCTTGCGAGAAATGACCATGATGTTCAAATCTCCACTTATTGTGACATATTAGGGTTAAAGTTTTTTGGCAAGCGATTTTTCACACATAAACGTCTTTGTCCTCGCGAAAATTAGCGATTTAGTCCAATTTCCCGCACGATGAACTCTGATAACCGATGTTAGATTATTAGCCACTATCCACACAGCAAACAAACTTAGATAGCATCCCTGAAGCATTCTCATTTTATTATTTTTGAAATGTCCGGTTATGGTTGAGAATCGTACAATTTTTATTGGCCAAACGCAAGAGCGCAACGTAACCCAACAAAAAATTGAAAGGTGGCCAACTTTTGCGGTACGTTACGTTACGGAGATACGGTAACGTTAAAGTATAAATTGCTTCACTTAAATGCTTACGGTTGCGTGGTTACGTTGCGTCAATCTATAAATTGGGCTTAAGGGTATTTTAGGCAATTAAGGCCCAGTTGTACAATCCTGGTTCAAAACAGAGCTTAGCTAAACTTGACTGGTACTTAAACTTTCCCATTTAAAATGCATTGCTGTCAAAATTGATAGAATTTTATGAATATCTGACAGCAATGTATTTTAAATGCGAAAGTTTAAGTACAAGTCGAGTTTAGCTAAGCTCTGTTTTGAACCAGGATTGTACAACTGGGCCTAAGTATAAGTTTAGAAGTACTTTTAATTTTAATTTAATTTAAATGCAAAGTTGTCTCAAAAATTCAACACTTCTACTGAAATTTTGTGTTGAGATTGCTCTATCAATCCCAAAATTATTTCACTAGAAACAGGAATCCTAGAGTATTTAAACAAGAGCATAATTTAATTACAAAAGTCTAATTAAATACGCAATATGCAGACCAAACAATTTTTATTTCTTCATTAAATATGAAGTAATTGAATTAAGGTATTACAATAATTAATAAAGTACTAATTAAAAATTGATAAGTTTTCATACCTGCTGATAGGTCCTGGTATCAATTGGATTAAAATGATCAATTTTTTGTTCAAAATACAAATTAGCCGAAATCCTCGTTTTGAGGGTATTCACACTCTCGGGCGGATCTAATAAAATAGGCCTCTGTATACCAAGAATCGCATTAGCATTATTTAAAATATTCAAAATTAAAATAAATGCACTACTGTAAATTCCAACCATTGTTGCTATAGGATATTTAGCACAATGCGAAAAAAAACCAAATCAATTCATTTAGTGAAGATAAAACTGAATCCTTTTTCAAATAGTTGGATTAATACATCATTTTATCTCCTTTATGAGATTAAAATTATTGTAAAGACTCGCTATGAGATTGAGATAATGACAATATTAATTCAATAAAATCTTACTTTATAATGTAGGTACCTAGGAAGGTACCATATTTATTTGACGCATGTGTTCAATAAAACTCAAGAACTAGCTATAGTGTGCCCACAGAATGTTGAAAAAGCAAATCTTTCTCATCCATTAAAATATTCGCGGTTTCCCCTCTATTAAGTTGCCAGACGAATTTAGCTCGCGTGATTGCGGGCGGACTGTGGCAGAGGATAAGCACCGAGGGATTCTAGAGGCGTGATAAACTAACGTGTCATATGAGCGTTTATTTGCACGTGGTCAAAATTAAGATGCAGCCCCGAATGGTGCGGTTTGCATGTAAAAGCACGCTTTAATCTCATTACTTAATTACCGAAATTCTTGCTGGGATGATAATATTTGGATAATACGCCGGGTAGCAGGTACATTCTCTAAACTTGGAATTCCTCAAATGTGTTTTGATGCAAATGAAAAATTGGGCTGTCATTGGAAGTTTATGTATATTAAGAAGACGCTGCTGCCTTGTAATATTCGCGTTTAACTTCCTCGAAGGCTAGAGAAAAAAAAATGGATCAGAAATTCCCTGATCTACAGGTCGAGGAATCTGACGGACCAACTCTCTGATACTCAGAAAAAACCTAGTCTAAAAACCCATTCAAATCTCGGATTAGGCAGAGGAAGGGTGTGATTACATTTTAAGTAAGAGGGAAGCAATAAGCAATTTTTAAACACCCAGGTACCTACCTATTTATTGTAATGTAATTCGATTCTTCGATTACTTTTTGCAAATTCGTCAATAACGCCATCATAAAAACATAGATGATCCGACATGTTTTGTAGAAGTTTATTTTCGATCGACAACAGCAGTTTTTGCGAAACTCACGACACGGATAGCCGTTGAAACAAAGAACCTACTCCAGCGATAGCTTCCTCGCCCGCCTAATGGACACGATTGCTCGCATATGCCGCAGGTAGAAAGTTCAATAACCTCACAACGCACACGGAATCAAGCGAACGAAATATAACCTGGCTGCAGAGAAGCTAGCGGCATTTTTGATATTGTCACAACCCCTATACGTTTCGTCCTGGGCTGGGACATCACAACAGGAGCGTGACCTGGGGGCGTAGCTGGGGTTCAGGTAGAGAGAAACTCGCTTGGTATAGGTATAATAAGATAATTTATTGAATAATAATAATATTACCCTAGAAATAGTATCATGACGTCTCTTCTACGGAGGGACGTACTACTTATAGGCCACTCTGTATTATGTACCCTCTGTACACTTGGCGTGACTGAAGAGTGGAGCTAGGTTTGAGACAGGTTCAGAAGGGCGTTTCCCATTAAAGGTAGTTTGCACTGGGAGGAGACTTAGCTAGAGGGGCTTTTCCCATTGGAGGTACTGTGCACTAGCCTTAGTCTGCCGGTAATGAATTTCGGCGCAGTATTTATAGCAAATTAATGCTGACTCGTCGACACACTTTAGTAAAATTGATGTACAGAGTGGTATTTACTTAAGTAGTTGACATATGCCCCCCCTCTGAAATGCATTGTCCTCCAATGCTTTTAGAAGAGACATCAAAAATAAATATAAAAAAATGTCAATATACCTAATAGAATTACAATACAATAAAATACAATATAATGCAATATAAAATACAATACAACCAATAATAGTTATTTATACACCAATTGAGTTAAATGAATAAACATTTTAACTCACGTGATGTATACAAAATTTTATCCCATTTTGTGGAAATTTAGAAAATAAAGTATAAGGAAAAATGCCGGGAGTGAGTTAAAAATATTTTAAATCACTGAGATTCCAGATTTTTAGTTGGGCAGAGTGACTTAAAATGCCGAGAGTGAGTTAAAATGTTTTTAAATCACTGAGGTGATAAACGTCTACTTACCTTTATTGTTATGCGTTCAATAATGTCATTTTTAAACGTCAAAATGGGATAAAATACAATACAATATAATATACTAATACATTATGATACAAAAATAGCGAAAAGGAATAGGGGCGATGCAATTACTAAAAAATGGATAAAAACTGTGGTGCGTCAGGAGATCCCGTCATGGGTTTGGTTTTGCCGTCTAACCAGATGCGTCATCTCAGTAAAGACAGTAAATAGTCCAAGTAGGTACCATAACGTTTATGCTTCCTTGGAGTCCGTTTTTGGTTGGCCAAATTTTTCATAGTGTTCTGCTTCCTTGCTTCCAATGGTACTCGTAGATCTTTGGATCAGAGATGCCCCTGCTCAATCCGGAGCAATCCCTGATCCAGGTTGTAGTGGTGTCATTGGTTTCTTGGCCTCGTTTGTCCTCTGGTCGGTTGATGCGATTTTGTGCATATGAAACAAAAATTGTGTGCTGAAATAATTTTGAAATTGCTGATTTAGTTTTTTGTTAGTAATTAGCCTAGTTAAATTTTGGTACTTCAAATTTGTTCATTCCTACCTGATACCTTCGACGATTAATTGTCCCAACAGTAAGTTGATATATAACCCTCCGTAAGTTTTGCATCTTTATTATTTCATATACCTACTTATTTGCTGGTGTATTTTCCTAGACTTACGAAATCGTCTACGTCAGGGTCAGGGTTTCCTAGCCTCCCCTGGTACCTTCGAATCAGCGGATCATTTTGCTGGGTGCAGGTAGTGGCCGAGTCATGATGATTACGGGCGTTGTCCGGATTCGGCGGCCGCTGTTGTTTATCTATTATTAAAAAAAAATTAAGTAAAGAATAAATGTACTTATTTCCTTCCATTTCCCTATTCCTGCTCGTTTGACAAATGCGCCTTGTCCTGTCCTATTTTACTTCTACTATTCTCGCTGGTTTGGCGAATGCGTTTCATCGGTATGTCGTAGACTGGCTGCCTGGTTTTTACTGGTACTGGGACGTGTGTCTGTGCTTGTTTTATAGAAAGTGCAACGTATAGTTCCATCTGGGATGAGATTGAGAATTTTCATTGTGTATTCTTCGGTGTCCTCATCTTTATGCTCCATTTTTGGTTCCTTGCTTTCAGTTTCAGTTCGTGTGTGGTGCCTTAATGTAGGTTCCCCTGTCTGTTTATTTAAACGTAAGTATTTATACATCTTGATTGCTACAAAACCTAATCATATTGCAAATAGGCTGCATGTGACATGACTGGGTGGCCCCTGTTCTGACCTCTCACTGGCGTAAATATTGTGGGCATGGCGTAGGTGCTTCTTTTGAAAATAATATAGAGTAATGCTATGGATAACATTGTGTTCCAGATAACCATTATGCTGTGGCTCTCCGTGATCCAATGGTAAGTTATTGGTGGTACTTGTTCCTGTACTTTCTCCAATTTCTCAGCTATGTCTTTCAGAAATTACTTATTAGACGTCCAGTTTCGATGAAGAATTGTGGGGGACCAATTTTGATTAATACATTACTGCATATTACTGAATTTAACTGGAAGTGGTGTTAGAAATGGATTTAACACAAATGACTTGAGGTTTGTCCATGCTGCAGGTACCAAATATTGTATTTCTAATTTTTTAATTTCGTCCAGGCATGGGAATCTCTTTGGAATAATTACTTTGTTGTCTTTTTCCAGCTGACACTGGCATGGTATGAAGATTTTAATGCTCTGCGTGGTGGTCCTTCAAGAATTCAGTCTTGTCCGGGCATTCTGTTATTATGCTTTTTTGTGGATGAGTATTGATGAACTGATCGTCGCCGATTTCCGTGATCACAAGGAGCTCAGACCGGTGGCAGCTCATTGGACAATGGAGGGTTAAATCTTCGACAGTGGCTCCATGGAAAAGCTCTGATGCGCATGATGGTCCCGGGAGGGTATCCCCCGAAAATCTTGGTAAGTAACATAGCTTGTTCTAATATGGGCTGCATAACTGTAACCCAGTGCCCGTAATTTGCCTAGTATTGTTCCCGTCAGCTATAGCCATATATAATGTGCGATGTTCTATAATGCAAGTTTGACTATGCCAGGAAAATGGGTAGGTTTCTAACTCAAAGACTTTCCATTGATGATCCCTTCTGTTTGTAGGTATTCTTATGTGGACCACAAGTTCGTTGCCTGTGAAGCTATAATCGCAATTTGGAAGCTCATAGTATTTGGTAATGTCGTCTGCCCGGATTGTTAATTCATGGAAGTCTTTGTTAAAGTTCCTCGTTCAAGATATCCAGGTCCTTTCTCAAGACGGATAGTGTTATAACTGCTATGGGCACGTGATGGTGTTTACATGACTGGAAAATATCTTGGTTCTTCATTGTTCTAGTAAGTGTAACAATTTTACTATATATGTCTACGTTTTCTCGTAATATTGCCATAATGAGCATGCGCTCAGTTGCCAGATTTTGTTTTATTTGGCTATTCATTTTCATTTGGTAATCCCTCATCTCTTTTATTCTAAATTCTGTTTCTTTCGGAGCATTTTCTACATCCGCTTGCTTCATGAATGTTGATTGTTCCCCCAGTGCTTTGATGGTAGATTGGAGTCCTTTGGTAACTGATCCCAGTCGTGTCCGTAGGGCGTCTGTATCCATGTCCATGGAATCCAATTTTTGTTGTGTTGCGACTCCACAACACCAGTTGAGCCCATCTGCTATGATAATGAAATTGCCCTTTTGCTCTTCTTCCTTGGTCTTAGATTAGCTATGTTCCAGTGCTTAGTTATACTACTTAATTCCTTGTCTACAGCCGATGCTATTCCTTCCATATATATTAAAATCTTACATTCTACCTTCTCCGATTCTTGACACTTCCTGCCTCTCGGTATTGTTGGTTCTAAAGGCTCTTCAAGCCAAGGTACTCTGTATGTTAATGGGATTGACCCCTTGTATGAAATTGTATCTCGTAGGAGTTTCCAGGTTGCACCGGCGG